GATGGTCTCCGGCAGCCCAGGGGCACCGGAGCAGCTTACGAACGGGGCTTTCTCGCCCCGGAGCTCGCAGGTAGTAATCCGCTACCTCGACCTCCGGGGCGAGAAAGCCCCGTTCGTAAGTGCGGCTCCGACGTAAGTCGGATCCGCGTAAGTCGGGGACAGCCTGTACATCTATAATTTACAATTAAGAGAGTTCAACGTTTCATTTAAATAATATTAACTATGAAAAAGGAATAGCAAAGGTCCTACGGATATCTCCTTGAGATTATCTATGATACTGACAACAACTTAGATCATTTAACCACCTAATTTACTTTTTACTATCTACAGTGTTTCTTCCTTTCCTCTTGGACACTTTAAACACACTACAGGTTAATCCTCCTTATTCGGCACTTTCTGGTATGGCAACATCCTGGGTCCGACATGATTTTAGTTAGCTGTCATGGGTGTGGCCAAGTTTCCCCGCAGTTCCATAAGGTTTGTTTACAGCCACCAGACCTGGCTCTCAGTGTTCAGTGCTTTTATTTACCCCTAAATGTCTTCTAAGAGCCCAGTAAGCAGTGGAAGTGCTGGTAATGCTGCTAGACAATATTGACCTCCCGTGGTTCAGCAAATTCTCTGGTTCGACACTGGTCAGGTCTTGAGAGTGCCAGACTAGAGAGGTTCAACCTGTAGTCAGTTTTTCTTGTTCCCTGATCATTCTAGTTACTTTTACTTTCAGCTTCTAATGTATTAACACATTTGGTTTAGGTTCCAAGTGCAACAGAGGAATTATACGTTGTTAAAAAATTATTTCCAATAGAACAAACAAAAGACATGAAACATTTGTATTGTTTTTAAGCATTGTGAATAAGCAAAGGCTCTATCTAATTATCAACTCCTGGAGCCATCCAGTCCCTCAGAAGTAACGACTTAAACTTATGAGTCACATTAATATCACTTAGGACGAGGAGCTATCTAATAATATATACAGGCAGTCCCCGGGTTACATGGATCCGACTTACATGGATCCGACTTACATCGGATCCCTACTTACAAATGGGGTGAGGCAACCCCGCACTAGCTGCTTCCCCCCAGCAGACCAGGGAGACGCGAAGTTAGCGCGCTGCCCCCTCCCTCCCAGCAGACCAGGGAGACGCGGAGCGGCTTTTCTCAGCAGACACCTCAGCTTGAGAATAAAGGACTGAGGGAAGTGAGGTGTGGGAGAATAAAACTGAGCTCTGGAGAAATGTTTGGCCAGAGTTTCCCCTACAATATGTACCAGTTCCGACTTACATACAAATTCAACTTAAGAACAAACCTACAGTCCCTATCTCGTACGTAACCGCATTAAACTGAACAGCTTTCAGACTTCACAGCAGCATAAATATTGGCCATTTAAAAGATCATATTAACTATTCACATTCTGTTCAAGGAAGGAAACCAAGAGACAAAAGAACAGAGATCACTTTAGTATGTTCTACTTCAGTGGTCCCCAACGCGGTGCCCGTGGGCGCCATGGCTCCCGCCGGGCCATTTATGTGTGCCCGCCAAACAATCTGGGCAGCCTCTGCCCCAAGGTCGCACATGCCGGTGCCGGTCCCGGTCCCGCGCGCGCGGTGCATGTGCCAGCCCCACCCCCCACGGGGGTGTGGCCCGTGAGTGGCCCCACCCCCGAGTGCCCAGCAGCCCCAAAAGGTTGGGGACCACTGCTTGAACTAAAACATGACAAATATCATAATAAAAAAAACCCAGCCTAGCTATTGGAGAAACAAATGATTACCCTTTCACATAATCTGAGTTGTTGAGAACTCTTTCTGTAAATAAATGGCTCAAAACAAATTTTGGCTTTTAGACCCAGAGGACAAATCCACTCAAATATCAGATACATTGAATTAAACTTTCCCAAGACCCTCGTTCACATTTGTTCCACAAAACTGCCAGTTAAAGAAAGGCCGTCACACAATAAGCTGGATACTTACCTACTCTATTTGCTCCTGCCAGCATAAAGGAGAAAAGCACAGAAATACGACACTGCAATTATGAATAATTCAGCAGAAGTGGCATTTAGAAACACATATGATAAAAAGGGTGCTGCAGTGCTGAGTGAGATTGCGAAGCCTGAGAGGTAGGAAGAGGAGGCAGATACTGGAATTTATCAGCAGTTGAATATTCTACTACAGAGGGGTTGGGGTTGAGCATTAAAAACAATCCCCTTGACCACCAGGACCAGCTATGGAGAAACAGCTTCTTCTTTCCCAGAACAGCAGAAAGGAAAAAGACACATTTTACACAGTTCTCCAACAGTCCTTTCCAGATATTTAAGACACAGTTAGGATTAGCTCTGGATGTAACCACTTCTAATGCTCTAAAGCAAAAGACAGGTCAAGCCGAAACTGAAACCTTTAAGGAAGATGCAAAATGAGGGGACAAATAAGGAATTTCCCAACAGGAGGCAATGGGATAGGACTGTATGAGACACGATACGGCTGGATTCACATAGATTGGAACAAGGAACAGCCCAACAGTCTTTTATAACATTAGCTCCTCATAAAACATCAGGCATTCATTTTGGTCCTTACAACCAACACACTACATTAAAACATACACCCTAGGCCACTAGGATTTCACCTTACCTGACTGCCTGTAATCGATTATCTGAAATAATATTACAGTAAAACTCCAATTGTCCAGCATCCAGTGATCTGGCACTCCTGGTAGTCCGGCACCAACTGGAACCCGGAAGTGCTCCGGCCAGCTGGACAATTGGAGCTGCTCTGCCCCCGGCTTCCTCAAGTCCACTGCTGCTGAAACTGACCAGCGGCTGATTTGGCGAAGCCGGGGGCAGAGCAGATGGAGTGCTGCCAGGTTGGTCCCGCAGCGCCGCCCTCTCCCACGCTGCGCAGTTCCCTGCTGACCCCAACCCCAGACCTCTCATAGCCCCCCTTCCGGTACTCTGGCATATCTGATAATCCGGCACCCTCTGGGTCATAAAGGTGCTGGATTATCGGAAGTTTACTGTACATTCATTTACTTAAGGAATGAGACTTTTTTCCCCTTTTAATATTTATAGAAGGATTTAGTTTTTTGTCTTTTATTTTTCTATTTAAAAAACAATAATTGTATAAAAACTATTACTTTCTGTATCTGAGTTAAAAATAATACTTATGATTATTGGTGTTGCAAAATTCTGTTTTTATACATTCCTTTAATTCATTCAATACCACTTTTTTGTTTAGTCTGTTTCTCTTAAGTCTTTTGTATAATCAGTCTTTTAGGCCTCAGTCCTGTAAATTGTTCCACATGGACACACCCCTCAGGGTCTAAGAGGAGCTCTCTTGACTGACTTCTTAGGGCTTCCATGGGCATAAAAGTGCCTTCATCTGGAGTTTGTTGTAAGAATAGTGAGTTTTAGTGAGTTTGTTCCTTTCATGCAGCAGTGAGGAGAGGAACAATTTTTTTCAAAAAGAAAAATATTATTGTAGAAACATAAAAACCGGCAGAAGGACAATAGGAACAGGTGTGGTATTAATTGATTGTGTTAAATTGACCATATTCAGATTGACATTTTCTATGTAGCTTTCATTTATAGAATAGGCACTGTGACCATAAAGTTATGGACAAGATGTTAAAGATTCTAACTAGAATAGTTACATATCTTGGAACTCTTTAACCAACTAAAACAAAAAATGTAACAAAATATTGATGAACTCATTATCAAGCAAATGCCCATTGGTTCCCCAGAATCATCTGCAAACTATTGGGCAAACTGCCTGGAATATATATCAGTGTCTTATGAAAGGTCTGTGGTGCAAATCAAATGTAGCAGCAAAGATGGCATAATGTCGTAATGCAACATTTCACGTTATCTTGTATGGCCAGACATTTGACAGAGTTGATCCGAGCAATGACACTGTCTTGTATTTTATTTGTTCTGGTAATTCAGGACCTCCACAGAGCAGTAGTGGAAATGAGCAGCAATCCTCAGCATCTATCTTTGAGCATGTGGACAGGATGTCTCGTTCCTCAGAAGCAAGCAGACGGGTCCCAAGCAAGATCCAGTTGATTGCCATGCAGCCAATTGCAGCCCCTCCAGTTCATAACCTAGCACTGTCTGACCGAATAGCTGAGACCAACAAAATTAACAAAGAGGTATTTTAAAATCATGTTTGTGTGCAATGGTGATATACAGAGTATATAGAAAAGAGCTGCAAAGTGAGAATGAAAGCAAAAGGTTTAAATTTTCCTGATATGTTGAGAGTCTCACTTCAGATCCTGGTCATTATTTTTTTCTTTTATAAAGGACATAATCATGAGTTGCCTATTGTTTAGCATCCTAGAGAAAAGCTCAGCCATTTCTTTAGTTCTTATTTAGGTGTATCTTGCAAATAGAGTAGTGACACAGGTTACCATACAACCTTGAGTTACCATGCAGGTAATAAACACTCCACAGTTCATGGCAGTTTGGTATATTTGTGCGAAACCTAGATGATTGGGTTATCTGGGTCTAGTTCTGCATACTTCTCCCAGCTGCTACTCAGTAACTGATTTTGTACTTGCTTGAAGATAGTCTCCTTCCCCTGCTTCTAGGTTAAAAGTATAATTCATCCTCTGTGTTTAGAACCTTCCTTAGTAGGTTGGAAGGTAAATTAATACATGTAATACTCATGGAAAAGGAAATCCAGGAAATGTAAATTTAATTACTAGAGAAAGTCCTGCTATGTACATTTGTCTAACGACCTTTCTATGCTTTTATAAAAGATTAGGTTTTATTGTTCATGCTTTCTGTGCACCACAACCTAGTTCCAACATAGGCATAGTATTAAGGACTGATCCACTAACTACTGTTATCAATGGAAGGGTGTAATAGTATAGACGATTAACCATTGAGAAAAAGCTTATTGGTTAATGCTATAGACTACACACATTCCCCCCGCCCCCACCAGTAAACTTTTTAGCAGGATGGCTAGCAGCCTGGGTCAAGTTCTGGCTTGCTCCAAATCCAGGACCTACCCCTACTAGGGCGCTGTATTTAAAGTGTATTAAGAATTAGGTGGGCAGGCAGCCTGGCTCAGTCCTGTCCTGCGCTGGGTCTGGGAGCTCATATCTGCCCTGCCCTGCCCTGCCCTGCCCTGCCCTGCCCTGCCCTG